CACAGCCTTTATCATCCCGTCATTACCAGTTATCCACTTCCATCAAGTGAGTGGATATCCCATCGAACAGCCTCTCGCTTGCGACAGCCTGTTTACGCCAGTTTTCGTCGGTTCTCCGAAAAATGGCACACAATGCGCGATCTCTTGCTTCTTTCGTCCAGCCACTATCAAGCTATCCCCTTGAGGTCGTCTATCCATCTAGCAGGTGAAGGTAGGTACCTGGTATTCCGCAGTAACTGGCTGCTGCTGCTGGACGACCAGCGGCGCGCCTTCAAAGCCGAGGTGGCTTTCAAGACGCCCATACGTGCGCTGCGAGCTAGGCGGGACAAGTATGTATTATCTATACCGTCATCATTATTATTTCAGCTAATGACAGTCCAATCCTGGAAGTCTTCTCCAAGGAATACCTCAAAAGAACGACCCCCAGCCTTTATCATCCCGTTATTACCAGTTATCCACTACCATCAAGTGAGTGGATATTCCATCGAACAGCCTCTCCCTTGCGACAACCCGTTTACGCCAGTTTTCGTCGGTTCTCCGAAAAATGGCACACAATGCGCGATCTCTTGCTTCTTTCGTCCAGCCACTATCAAGCTATGTCCTTGAGGTCGTCAGTTCATCTAGCAGGTGAAGGTAGGTACCTGGTATTCCGCAGTTACTTGCTGCTGCTCGTGAAAGCGCGGCGGCCTTGCAGCCTGCTACTGCTGGATGACCAGCGGCGCGCCTTCAAAGCCGAAGTGGCTTTCAAGACGCCCATACGTGCCCTGCGAGCTAGGTGGGATAAGTACATATTATGTATTATTTATTATTTCATCCCAACTAATATTATAAATGCGAAAGTAACTCTGTCTGTCTGTCTGTCTGTCTGTCTGTCTGTCTGTCTGTCTGTTACGCTTTCCCGCTTAAACCTCGCAACCGATTTTGATGAAATTTGGCATAGAGATAGTTTGAGTCCCGGGAAAGAACATAGGATAGTTTTTATCCCGGTTTTTGAAACAGGGACGCGCGCGATAAAGTTTTTCTGTGACAGACAAAATTCCACGCGGGTGAAGCCGCGGGCGGAAAGCTAGTATATCATATATAATGACAGTCCACTTCTAGAAGCCTCCACCAAGGGACACAGGCACGATCTTCAACTTTTTACATCGCCCCTGTCAATTCAGCTTGCTTTTTTGGACTATCTATTATTTTGGTCTTGCCGCATGACTTCCTTCGAGATTTTGTCCCATAACGAGTTAGGTAGGTACCAATCATCATCCTTTAGATTTTTAAAAACAAAAAACATACATAACTATGGCTGTAAAACACAGCGGTAGGCCTAGTGATTCAAATAGCGTTCATTGAATTTAAATCACAAATCTTCGCCCAGTTACAATTAAACGGCCTTCGTAGGTATTAGGAAGTAGACGGGACTTCATGGCCGAGATTAGGAAAACCGACGATGAAGCGGAATCCGATGGGCCAAATCGGTTTGTTTATTTTGGGTCGGCGTGTTTTCTAAACATACAGCCAGTATGAAATAGCTTCAACAACATTTGCTCCCTTCGTTCGGTCGTTTCAGCCAAATGACGTTTACTGGACAAAGGCACAGTTTCGCACTGTTGGACAAACTGGGCATAGGCGGGAATGTGGGCAAAGGTCGCTATACCGGCTCTTCCCCTATGCTCAGAAAGAAGGACATTCGTAGTTGTTTTAGTGGCTCTCCCCCAAGGATTTCCACGACAAACGGTCCTGCGCTGCCCGCATGCAGGACCATGTTCTTACCACGATTTTCACCAGATCGTCGGTCTACCTGCGAATGTCTGCCTACACTACGTTTTCCTTTTTCTTCTTCTTGGAAACTTTTCTCAGCCTTCGGTTAAAAACCATAAATAATATTATGACCGCCAAGGTATTCGAATATTTTTGTTATGATTGCTTTCATATTGTTTCGCAATAGGATTTAAAGTCATATATCGTGATAAGATAAGCGGCGACCTTCACCGAATAACCTAATATTTATTAACGACTACCACGTGAATTGTCTTATTTATGAGGTGATTACGAATACTGTCTGGTCTTGATATAATATGATTTTTGTCCATACGCATGCGATGCATTGTAAAACCTTCGCATTTGATTATCTGTGACTGGAGTGGTATTAGTTGAAACAATATCATTAAGTATATTCTTTATTTATTTATTCTATTAGTATAATGTATTATTGTATTCACAGGTGTCTCATTCACGTGTCACTTGTTTTTCTTAGCATATCTTATGTTATTTACAAATATGCAGCACAAGATTACGCGCCTCTAGCATGACCACAGATATTATAATTTTATTTCCCATACCAACTACTATTTCAATTATTTTTACGACAAAACAAGCTACTTCTCCCTGAGCTTACATATTTCTTAATTAAAATTGGTTCAACTGTGTAGGTGTGAAGACATAATTTTAACAATAAAACTGCTTGTATTCTTGAACAATCAGTGATCAAAATATCACATCATGGAAGAATGTTTTCAAAAATATTTATATTTATCAGTGGGCTGAGTGTGAGTTTATATCAAAATGACATTAAATGTATGACGGATTGTACCTTTAGATAGCGCCCTTAGCGGAAACTTTCAAGAATTAAAATTTTCATACCTTTTTTTAAACGCGCTCACGTGAGCGCGTGCGCGTTTGATGTAAACTCACTCAGCCCGGAGCACTTGAAACCATACTTACTTATTTAAATTATTGCATTGACACAATTTTGCGTCGCAAATTATTTCTTTGTTTCTCTACTAATTGCGCCGTTTAGTAGGTACCTATTATGATGTTTTATTATAGTTATCATTACCTAAATTAAATACGGTTCTGTAGTGTTATTCTCGTGGAAATATTATTTCCTGTCTTTGAACAATTAACCTCATTTATCTAAAATGTTGACCCTGATATTATTATTAGTATGCATTTTACCTAAGTCTGTGTGATTCATCATCAGTTACATTTCATGTTATTATTATTTTATAACATTTACTCGTGACTTATATACCTACTAACCTACTTCATTAAACATTTATAAAATATGTGAAATAGAGACAAAAATAAAATAAATAGAAAGTACGGTTTTATTCAGATAATAAGACTCGATGAACTAACGGTTTTGTGAATTTTGCGGTCGCCTGTCTTGGAGGAGACCTTTCTCCAGCTTTGGACGTCGTTTGGTAGAAAAGATAAAGCCTATTATCAGAAAATAAAAAACTGTTTTGACGTAACTATAACATGAAACTGTTTCTACAGAGTGGCGGTCGTGCTATCATCCAGCATACAAGTTCTAACGCTGCCGTCGCTGCAGCGAGTGGCGCTCCTGCGCACACCGCAAGCCGCCCGACCGCTGTGCGCGCTCGCGATCGAGCCCAACGCGGTGCAGGTGTTGGCTGCGCCCGCGCACAGGAAGGGCTCGCTGCAGATACTGGTGCGTAGACATTCTAAACTTGATCTTAAAACTATGAGCTTACGATTTAGTTTTAACTGCAGCTCTGTGCGCTATAGCGAGCTATCGAAGCCAACGCAGTGCAATTTTAAAGCGCGCGCTTTCGCCCGTATTCACAAACGATGCTTGCTTAAGGGAAGCAGCAAATCGAATGCATAGCGTTGAATAGAGCTCTGTGATTGGTTCATGTGTCACCCTATGCGTCCACGCGCACTATTACTGGCGTTAGTTTTCAACCGCTGCCCGCCCGCTGTGCGCGCTCGCTATCGAGCCCAACGCGGTACAGGTGCTGGCTGCGCCCGCGCACAGGAAGGGCTTGCTGCAGATACTGGTATGCAGACATTTTAAATTAGAACTTAAAGCAATAGACTGATGGTCTATAGTTGAAGTGTGCGCTCGCGATCGAGCCCAACGCGGTGCAGGTGTTGGCTGCGCCCGCGCACAGGAAGGGCTCGTTGCAGATACTGGTATGTAGACATTGTAAATTAGATCTTAAAGCAATAAACTAATGGTCTATAGTTGAAGTGTGCGCTCGCGATCGAGCCCAACGCGGTGCAGGTGTTAGCTGCACCCGCGCACAGGAAGGGCTCGCTGCAGATACTGGTACGTAGTGAATTATACACACACAAAGTTCTTCTGAACTTATGGCAATAAACATAGCTCGGAGAGACGATGGCCGTTGGGGCAGGAAAGTTCTCGAGTGGCGACCACGGGCTGGAAGACGTAGCGTGGGCAGGCCTCCTAGGTGGACTGACGATCTGGTAAAGGTCGCGGGAAAAGCCTGGATGCGGGCAGCGCAGGACCACTCATTTTGAAAACCTTGGGGGAGGCCTTTGTCCAGCAGTGGACGTTATTTGGCTGGAACGAACGAACGAATAAACTGATGGTCTATAATTCAACTGCGCGCTCGCGATCGAACGCAACGCGGTGCAGGTGTTGGCTGCGTCCGCGCACAGGAAGGGCTCGCTGCAGATACTGGTGCGTAGACATTCTAAACTTGATCTTAAAACTATGAGCTTACGATTTAGTTTTAACTGCAGCTCTGTGCGCTATAGCGAGCTATCGAAGCCAACGCAGTGCAATTTTAAAGCGCGCTCTTACGGCCGTATTCACAAACGATGCTTGCTTAAGGGAAGCAGCAAATCGAATGCATAGCGTTGAATAGAGCTCTGTGATTGGTTCATGTGTCACCCTATGTGTCCACGCGCACTGTGAGACCTCATAGTAATGTTTGTGAATACGGGCGTTAGTTTTCAACCGCTGCCCGCCCGCTATGCGCGCTCGCGATCGAACCCAACGCGGTGCAGGTGCTGGCTGCGCCCGCGCACAGGAAGGGCTCGCTGCAGATACTGGTAAGTAGTGCAAAACACTTTAGAAATTATTGATAGTTCGTTCGTTTCACATCAAATGACGTCCACTGCTGGACAAAGGCCTCCCCCAAGGTTTTCCACAATAAACGGTCCTGCGCTGCCCGCATCCAGGCTCCTCCTGCGAACTTTACCAGATCGTCGGTCCACCTAGTAGGAGGCCTGCCCACGCTACGTCTTCCAGCCCGTTATTGATAGACTAAAGATTTATTTTTCAATGCTGGAAATGGAAACAAACATATTCGAAGCGGATGGCAAGAAGGTTGTGTCATAGTTTTTGACACAAATGGAGTGTCCTTTTTAAATAAAGTAAAACCCTTAAATTAAGTTTAAGAATCTCTCAAAAAAAAAATCATGTGTTCACTTTATAACATGTTTCTAAATATTTTGTGAATTATAAAATTTTAGGAGTTGACCGCGTGTCATGTCGTGTTAATCCTGTAGTATTCGTTTCTGAATATCGTTTCTATTAAAAAAAACTTTCATCTCTTCCAGGACATATCCCGCGCAGTCAAAGGCGCTCAGTCTAGCTCGCCAGCTGTAGTGGGGTGCCACCAGACCGCTCTGGTCTGCCTGAGCGTGTCGGCCAACGGCGCCAAGCTGGCCACGGCGTCGGAACGCGGCACCATCATTCGGATCTGGGACACCACCAGCAAGCTTCTGCTGCACGAGCTACGGCGAGGGTCTGACTACGCGGATGTGTACTGGTTAGTAACTTAGCAGTTCTTAGTGTCAGTATACAGAGTTTGTCCTCTAGAACCTCTCAATCAAGCATGCTCGTGCTAATATCATTCGCATATGGGACACCACCAGCAAGCTTCTGCTGCACGAGCTACGGCGAGGGTCTGACTACGCGGATGTGTACTGGTTAGTAGCTCAGCAGTTCTATAGTGTCGGCCAACGGCGCCAAGCTGGCCACGGCGTCGGAACGCGGCACCATCATTCGGATCTGGGACACCACCAGCAAGCTTCTGCTGCACGAGCTACGGCGAGGGTCTGACTACGCGGATGTGTACTGGTTCTTCTCAGCACTTGCCAAATGTTGGTCTCGAAGCGCTGGTAGGGTAAAAAGATTATATGAGACATGTAGAGGCTCCTTAAGAGCATATGACGATTTGTAAGAACTATTTATTAGTCTAAACAAATAAAGAAATTTTGACTTTGACTTTTGACTTTGACTTAAGCAACGGCACATGGTAATATCATTCGCATAATGAGATACTACCAGAAAACTCATGCTACATGAGTTTACGCGAGGATCTGACTACGGATGTGTACTGGTTAGTAACTTAGCAGTTCTTAGTGTCAGTATACAGAGTTTGTCCTCTAGAACCTCTCAATCAAGCATGCTCGTGCTAATATCATTCGGATCTGGGACAACACCAGCAAGCTTCTGCTGCACGAGCTACGGCGAGGGTCTGACTACGCGGATGTGTACTGGTTAGTAGCTCAGCAGTTCTATAGTGTCGGCCAACGGCGCCAAGCTGGCCACGGCGTCGGAACGCGGCACCATCATTCGGATCTGGGACACCACCAGCAAGCTTCTGCTGCACGAGCTACGGCGAGGGTCTGACTACGCGGATGTGTACTGGTTAGTCTTAGCAGTTCTTAGTGTCAGTAGACAGAGCTGGTCCTCTAAAGCCTATTAATCAAGCAACGGCAACGGCAAACTCGTACTACATGAGTTGAGGCGAGGGTCTGACTAGGCGGATGTGTACTGGTTAGTAACTATAGTTCTGTTAACTTAACATTTTAGCCTAGGCGCAGACCACCGATTTTTAGTTGGCCGATAGTTGCCGATTTGATTTGTATGAAGAATCGGCCAAATCAAATCGGTGTAATGCGCACTTCCATACATGCCCATACTGATCAACTGCCCGAATAAACTATCGGCCGACGAAAAATCGATGGTCTGCGTCTAGGACCAAGATGATTTGCTAGACCATGCTTGGTACAATCATCTGAATACGAAACATCACCAACATGCTACGTGACCTACGGCGATGGTCTGATGTTTTGTTGGTTAATTTGTGAATGGTTTTTAATTATTACTGACTCGCACAAGATGCAAGACAGCATTGCATGCATGCCTAAATGTCATGTTCAAATCGTGAATATCAATCTATTGCGAACTTATGAATTCAACCTTTTCACGAATTCATGAGTGATAATGCGTCATCGCGTTCGCGTATATTGCGGTTAAAGTCGCAACCGTCGGTTTTAGTGACTAAGACCTCTCTTCGCTAATTTAAGTAAGCCAAATGTATGTTGCACTAATGCCTTTATACGGCAATTCTAAAGAATGCACTGGACAGTTCTTTGTGTCGATCTCTGCAAATATGTCGAGTTCCATGGAATGCATTTATTGTAAAATAATTAAGCAGTCATTATGTGACCGAAATATCTGCGTGTTTCTACACACGCGTACTTTAAACGTGCGAAAATTTTATAAGAAAAACATAACCCAGCTTCTTTCGCAGTCGGGTAAGTAAAATGTGCGGGAATTTCCGATAACAAATAAAACTCAATCAAAGTATCAATGTAACGATGACTGCACAAAAAGAAGGGTGCTTATGTCATTCCACGTCGTCATTACGACCCAGTTGGTCTACTGCCAAATGCCTGTGCGCCTATTGCTTTTATTTATTGACGCTGAAAGAACGAACTCCGTGGAGAGATTGACGCCCGTATTCACAAACGATGCTTGCTTAAGTGAGGTAGCAAATCGAACGCACAGCGTTGAATAAAGCTCTGTGATTGGTTCGTGTGTCACCCTGTGCGTCCACGTGAACTGTGAGACCTCATAGTAATGTTTTGTAAATACGGGCGTGAGTCGAAATTACGCCAGGTTTAACTTTTGATCGAATTTCCTTTGCGAGGTCGAATCAGAGAGGAGATCCGTAAACGTACAGTCGCTGACATAGCTCGACAGATTAGCAAGCTGAAGTGGCAAAGGGCAAGGCACATAGTACGCAGAACTGAGCAACTAGGTTCTGGAAAGTGGAGGTCATGTAATGTCTTATAAAGATTGCAGGAAGCTTCTGGAGGAAGGCCG